CACGTACTTCTTCTCTCAGCATCTGATGGCTGCTAACGTATTTTGAACTTCAGATGGCTGCTATCGAACCTCAAGAACACGATGATAAGACGTCCCTCTTCGAGAGGATAGTGCCAGGGTGGCGTCCATCAGTCCAGCAACAGACGCCGGGCGAAGAGCTACTTGGACTCGCTATTCCAATCATTGTGACGGACATGACGCCTTTAACCCCCACAGTAATCGGCCTCTCAGGGCTTCAGACTGCGTTTTGACCCAACCGATTATATGTCATGTTCAATCCCGATGATGGCAAGGCTTCCGTCAACATGAGGAACCCCTCCAATGACCGGTAAAGCATGTCAGATAGCGTAGGCAAGGAACCGCTCAACTGACCCGCAGAACGCACACTGCTCTCCGCATCAGACAACTATCCAGAACATAGGTGGCTAGAAATAGTGCATCCGCGACGCCTGAAGGGCTTCTTGCCGCTACCCTGCACGCCTCGATTCTGATTATGTGTAAGATGGTGTAGAACGTTCGGCCCATCTGAGTGACAGTTTCGGGGCCCGGTGTACCAAGCCGAAAGGCCTGTTGGACGGAGATGAAAAGGCGATGTAACATTGTCTAAGCAAGACACGTTCTGTCCTTCGGGACGCCCATCTACCGCAGACTTCGAACGCGAAGATCTGAGAGCACATGCAACCTCTTCCTCAGATTCTGAGAGTCTGAAGAAAGATTACCCAAACCCCACTGAGATCGAGACCCGTGGTCGGAGGGCTGTGAACGCGTATAGGAGGCCAATGGTGACGGATAACTTCATGATTCAGTACGAGCGCATGCCGCCTTCTCCTTCCCTATCCGTGTCTTTCAGACCGTGATTGTGCTTCGCCTTCGCCAAAGGCATCGCTTTGGACGCGATTTGCTTTATAACGCTCCTACCAGACGCGATCGTTACGCCACAACCTCTACTTCTTCACTATGCTCCTGAAGCCTATCATCGACTCTGTTTTACTTACATTTCACACAATCCGGACTCTCCGAGGGTATACAGAGCGGGTACTTGTCGCCGAGAGCGCAGCAGCAGCCGAGAGCGCAGCAGCCGCTGAGAGCGCGTCCACCGCTGAGAGCGCGTCCGCCGCTGAGAGCCCATCCGCCGCTGAGCGCGCATCCGCCGCGGAGGGCACACCTGCCGTTGCCGCTGGGAACGCACCTGTCCCATGCCAAACGAAGGAGGACGCACTGAGAAAGATTTTGTGCTTGATGGCTGCGATGGAGAAACTACTCATGGCAAACCATTGGGCTCTGTCTGGGGACGATGCCGAAAAAATCGTAGCGAAGATTCGCAAGTTCGCCTCCTCGTTTCTGACACGTCAGACGTTGTCTAAGATACTACTGTGCAGGGCTCACCGTCACGCCGAACTGGCAGACTCTTGGCTCACAAGTAGCTCATCTGCACGGAGAATGGCCGCGATCACAGCGATGGACAAAGCAGAGGTCCAAGTATGTCTTATCTAAGGACATCCATTCTAGGCGTCTATTGAGACTGATATCGTGACTGTCAGATAATTTCGGACCTCGCGATAGAGGCCGTAAAGGCATACAGGCTTTGCCTTGAGGATCTTAGCTCCGGCAACGCTCGAGCACCAATTCCCTTATGTGGGTGTCACACCTGGATTACAACCCTTTGAAGCTGACCCCTTTCCCACGATGTAGCCGGACAAAAATCTCTTCCCCAGGCAACGGCGCAAACGATGGCCAGACTGGAGGATGGCGTCAACGACTTATCGACCGCAAGCGCCATGCCATCTGGTTTCAACATGCATCTATCCCGTATGAACCTTTCCCATCTATCGCATAAAAACGACATGAATTAACGTACTCTCGAACACAGGGCCCTCAGGGGCTGATCCAGGATTACTACGACTAAGCTTTTCAGAAGATAATGAGAACGTCACGGTCGTAGAGCCAATCTTCGAGACCTTACCGGATGTACCGATATCTCGCGAGGGGACACCGGGCCACTGTGAAGGGGAGGGACACAAGGCCGCGACAATGGGCCAGGCCGCGGATGTTGTCCAATCCGTACTCCAATTTGCGAAGACTATGCTCAGAATACTGGGCCATGCGCAAACGGGGAGTACAGAAGAGCCTGTGGATGTCGCCATTCCGAGGGAGGCATGAGTAGTTACCAGATCACTGTGTCCGTGGAGTCCGTTGGTTTTGGGCCGTGCCCGCAGATTCACGAACAACCTGTATGATACGATGACCGTGGTGTTTCTTAATCTGTGTCTCTGCAACTCGGCGTAACACTAAGTGACTTTGAAAGTCGGATCCACGAGGAAAGGATGGTGGTCGAGGAAAAAGAGCGGTCGCTTTCGACCGTGCGTAAGGGTCGGCGGGCGTTGCCGAACGGCGCACAGGTGGTCATCGAC